CAACCTGTCGCACTGATGAGCTCGGGGGTTGGCTAGACAATGATGATTCGTCATACCGAGCGAAACGGATCATCTGTGCTGTGGAGTGTATTCCTTTCCCAACGTTGCTTTTCTTTACTTTTAATTGGGCCGACTGATACGAAGGAAAAAGATGTGATCCGCGACTTCACCGCTACCCAAACATGTAAAATAGGCGCGTATGACCCCAGGGAAAAGCCATTTAAAGATTTCAAACTGGGGTTCCCACATCAGAAACGAAAACTGTCGGCCGAGTAAAAAAGTGGAAAAGAAGGGGAAGAAGTGTAAGACAGCTTAGAGTGCATCACTCCCATACTTATGAGAGGAGTTTCAGTTTCGCAGAAGCCAATCAGCTCGTGAAATCATTGATCATCAATAATAATAAAAAGAACAATGGAATAGAGGTACCTGACGTCCTTGTCCTCCGTATGGTAATTCGTCTTCTGGAGGAGCAGAATTGGCGCAAAGCTCCAATGGTGAGGTGCTAAGCCCTCAGAAGACTCGCCGCCTGAACGACGGGGTAAAGAACGTTATCAATCGATCTCATTTTCAGCCATGGTGCAACGATGGCTAAATTGAAGGAGATCAAAGGCGAATGGTCACTCTAACATACCTATCCATAGCGCAAATCACACTTTTTATGTTAAGGATACTTGAGCAACCTTGCAGCATCTATAGAGCTCTTTTAGCACCTTATGGGGGATATGATCTCGCAGAGAGACAGTGTCAGTTCAACTTGAATGTCATCAAATCATTGTGATCAAGGATAATCAAGGATAAAGTCTTCGCCGTTGATCAATCCCTTTGTGGGATATAGCACGCACGCTAATTCCATTTGGAATCAAAGTGGCTGATGTGGCCTATACAATGACTTGAGGGGCCCGGCCGATGTACAAGTCAGTGTTTTATCATCGCACGTGCAACTGATACAAATTTACCGTCCTTGAGGGTAGAAGGCTTGGTTGGCCCAGGCGGAGTCGACCCAGGATTAAACCCAAGGACCGCGCGAGTGTTGAAAGCGCCACCTTGTCACTACACCACCTCCGCCTCGAAGACCTGTTCAGAGTGAAATATTCCGGAAAAGTGACCTCTTCGTTGTTTGATAGACTTTTGAGTCAACGAATTGCACTCGATGTCCTGGAGTGGTCTACGGACAACTAAAACTCAATCCCTTTAATGGCGCCAACTTTCTGTTTTTCTCTGCGCTCTCTTGCCTGAGTGGCGATTTATGGCCACTTTGACCTTTCACATTCCAACTTTTCACGCATACTAAGTGGCTCATCCACCCCGGTGTCCCTTCCCCTCGAAAAAACTCATCTCCTGGCTCGCATCGTGTTTTTTGTACCTCACGATGCCTTGGCAGTAGCAGTCCCTTATTGCTCTGCGCTCTGGCCTATCGTGGCAGGACCCCCACCAAAAGTTTTACTTGTCACGTAACCCCTGGAGTTTAGGAAGACGCGGCTACGTACTACAGCCTATGCTTGCGATCCAGTCGTGCCACTTCGCTGCGCTGAGTGGCGTAGCTGGGACGTCGCAATCGTTGTGTGCGAGGTGTGCTGTCTCATGGCTCGTTCAAATGGTCAAAGAGATCACTGACGGACGGTCCTTCTACGAAATGATGGTGGAGGACAAGCTACCTCAAATCCTTTGATCGGACAAGTGCACGCCGTTACGTTGTGCGAAATATCTGGTCAAGTGGCGCTCTTCCCACAGGAGGGTCTCGGTCGGTATAACCGCCCCTGGAAAAAAAGGACAAAAACAAACAAAATAGGAATTGCATTAAGGAGACGCAAACCTTCCAAACGCTCTTTGCGGATGCAGAGCACGTTAATTCGCATCTCGATATCAGAACCCTATCAATGTAGTAAAATGGTCTGAAAACTCTTATAGTGCTTTTTACGAAAATTCAAAACTTTTTTCAAGAGCAAAACTTCTCAGGCAGGAGAAGGAGGATTGTAAAGCTTCAGATTTGATGTCGGTAAATCGAGCTGAAGCCGTTCCGAACATCCTGTCTATAGGGAAATATGTATCTCTGTTGTAAAATCGTTGTTTTTCAAATATATTCTATATTATATATTGCTAATATTAATGAAATTATTCGACTAAATATCTTCCTTCTCAATCCATTTTCCTTTTTAGATGTAGACGTTTTATCACATTAGTGCAAATGCAGAGAAGTCCTTGGTTGACGGAACGTTCATATTTTCGCATAATAGTCCTAAAATTCCCACCCCATCCTCACTCTTCCCTTCATCCACTTCAATAGCATGTGAGTTTTTGTTCTTAATTTCAATCTAACTCATATTTATTTTGACACTTTGCTTTTCCCTGCCTTTCCTTACTGATGGGCACGGAGGGAAGATATCCTTTCGTTGAGTTTTCGTCAAAGGGCCCGTGTAAAACGGAAGCTAGACTCATAAGTCAACTGATTTTATGTGCCCCTCACCTATTTCATGCTTTTAATAGCCACTTTTTTTTCTTGATACGTGGTCTCATGTGAAGCTGGGGACAGGTCCACAATCTAGAAGATATCCTCTTTCAAAACTTTTAAGTGCCCCTACCTTTTTAACTATACTCCTATGTATTAGGTGGGCCTTACTCAATTGTTAGGAACAGTCTTGGGCGGCACAGCAACCCACTCCTTCGCGTTGGAAACTAGTTCGTTCGGCGTCGGTTGAAATCACGCCCTGGGTTTGTTGGCTAGCATAGAGTCTGGAGTTTAGCGAAGTGGGCAGAAACCTTTTAGGTGGTGACTAGACCTGTAACCTTACGATTGGTTTGCGCTCCATGCACTTTGCCACTTCATAGACTATCGATGTCACTGGTACATGAACGATTCGATAAAATGCGCATGCCGGCAACGATAGTGAAGAAGCGCATATTAGGCCGCCGCACGAAGTTTCACACCGGATTATCCAGGGAACTGAGAAACATTTGATAGCTCAGCGATTTCACTATCATACCGAATTTGAGAATATGTATCGTTCACGCACGAAACCATTTGTGCGCATCAGGTATCACTGAATACTTCCATTTCCGTGTCTCTCGTGAAAAAGCAATGTGTCGTTAGTAAGGATCCCCTGCTGAAGCTCAACGAGCCATTGTGCTGTGAAGAACAAATCATTCCTGTGAAGTGTCGGTATACCCTAAGTGGCATGAGCTCGCGGCTTGATACTTCATGAAGGCCATCATGATCACAGATATGTTTGTGACGGCGCGCTCAAGTGGCATTGAACGAAATGTTTTCAATGTGGTGCTTGTGGGGTATTCTTCGCTTGGCATTTTTTGCTTATCGCGCTCGTCGGTCGCATTGGGAAGCGAGCCAAGGTTTATCGTTTCACATCCACGTGATGCTGCCATTGTACTACTCTGCGCCTCTGCATTCCCTCGCTGTCGTATGAACCATAGCACCAACATGCATGTGGAGCTCATAAAGTTATCTATTGTTATTGAATTGGAGATTAAGGCTCCGATAGGACAACAATGGTGCCTTCTCAGAAGATTTTTTCTGACAAAATGGTTTGAGGAAAGTCGCACACTCGTAGAAACGTGCAAATTACTTTGGTCATTCTTCGATGTGACCTTTTGGAATAATCATCGAAACATTTATTTCACCGTTCCTGCCTGTTGGTGGGATCTCAAAATCGGGCTCTTCGAGGATTTTTGAGAATGACATGTTATGTGAATGCAGAGCGTAAAGTTGCATTGTGGCGGAATCATCCATAGCGGGTCCTTTCTACAACGAATTTTTCGAGAGGTTCTGTTCAGTGATAGGAGAGATATCAGAATTGTTGTTGCCATTAGCATTGCTCGACTTTTTTCCGGTCGTATTGACGGCAGTTATCTCTTCAGAACTATTTACAATCGATTAGAGCGCTTTAATCTTTGCTGCTCTTTGCGGCCGACGGGAGGAGGTTTCTTTCTTTGCACTTTGTTCTCTATGTAGAGACAAAAGATCGGTGGTAGTCATACCCTCCGTTGTTGACGATATATCCAGTGGATGAATCTTGGTCTGCGCCATACATATATGACGATTTGGCATCAGAAGTTAGACCGATCTGATCATATTGTCAGAACTCCTGATTACCTCGACTATTTTTCCGTAACACCAGCTACCACGAGGGAGTCCCTCGTGCTCAATGAGTACTATTTCATTTACGTTCGGTATAGCGTTGCCTAAACGTCGTGGGGCGATTTCTTATGCTCTTGTCGTGAATTGGTTGCATCTAGAATCCTGCTGGTTGGGCTTATCCTCATGTCTAACTCGTCCAAGGCGCCAGGCCCACTGCTAGGTCTGTGCTCAGTATGTTCCCACTTTTTTCGCTTCGTCAATGATGATTTTTTGAGGGGCTACTGGTTCATGGCAGCACCAGCTACCTGTCACACTTGATCGCGAGAATAATTTTCTCATTAACGGATGACTCGTCCGAAACACGAACCTGTGGGATTTCTCCTTCTTACTCTTCAGCGTTTACTCCGCTAGAAGGCGCGGTACCTTTGGGCCCCTTTTCGGGCGGCTCGAACTGAAAGCTAGTCTCATAGACGGTGTCTGCTTCAGCGCGAAATTCGTGGCTATACCATTACAGGTTTTTCACAGTTCGTAGCTTAAGAAGCTATGCCGGACTCGTACGTATTACATCTTGTATGATGCGGTCCTAACTCCAAAACTATCGATATCGATTTCATTCGATAGATAGGGAGCTATTGAGCAAGCGAAAGCCCAGTAGATAAATCACCCAATGCCTGCTCGGTTGGGGGATCCGCTTTGGGAACGTCCTTGAACCAAAACCAGGACCCAGTAGCTTGATAGGATGACAAGCTGTGCCTCCTGTGATTGAACTATATTTGGGCTCTTTAAAGAGTCTTGGTGGTTTGACATTGCAACTCTCAACTTATTAATCTGAATGGTCTCGTTACAAGTATCGTCTTTATACTTTCGGAATACCTCGTAAAAGGTAAAGTTGCAGAAACAACACGCAGAAATGTCAGATGGTCCAAACGAGAGTAAGGAGAATATAGCCGAAATAGATGAGGTTTTCACTACTCTACTTGAATTCGATTCAAAATAATAGAAACGTGCTTAGCAACAAACTATGTATGTGTTTTGTATTTACTACTTATATGTTTTCTACCAGTCGCCTCAGAGGCACGCGGACCTTCGGTTCGTTGTTCAGGCGCGGCATCGCTGCGCATACCTTCTTCTACGTGTTCGCATACCCAACTAATATCCGGCTTTTCTTTTATCTGAACAGAGGACCAACGCTCCTTTCCCTATAACATCATACCTGCAATTTCCAGTACTACTACCTGTGCATAGAATTGAGGTAAGAAGCCTCGATGAAATGCAGAGATGAGAGGAAAGCGGGTATTAGTTGAGCACTCAAACGTATGAAAGCACGGAGGCGAAATAAAGCCACGGCACCTCGGCAAGGAAGCAGAGGAGGCGCGCCGGCGTCAGCCGGCCGATGGTTGTCGATGCGAGCATGGCTGTCGATGCTTTGGAGCTCAGTAAAAATATGCACCTCGTTCATGAGGGCGTGCATAGCTCCCTGTGGGCGGGAAATACACCGCATACACACTCAACATTCACCATATCACTTAGGTCCGAATTATAAAATTCAAGTACTGCCCATCTCTAGTACGGCCCGCTCATCCAAGGATATCTCCCCATATCATCCATCAAACCTCGTGTACTTCGATTCACTTCCCCGATGCACATGCTGCTTTTCAAGCAATTCGGCAATTTAAACCCGCCCACGGTGCGCGGGGCGTGACCTCAAGCAAGAGGTGCTAATTTGGAAAAAAATCCTAGTTTATCTCGGAGCTGCTCTGGAGCTGAATTATGGATTTTCCCACTGAAACCGTTAACTGCTGGCGCATGCCCCGCCCACTGTGAGTGGGGCTTAGCCTGGGTTACGGTTGCTCTTCAGATCGCTATGGAACGGAATTATGACTTCCTCCAGTGAAGCCGGAGGCACCACACATCTCAAGTACGCCCGCTCCTTCAGGTGTGTCTCCTAAATTTGCTCCGCCAACCCTTTGCTAAGTTTACTCCGAGTACCCCTATTTCGGCGCTGCTCTGGAGCTGAATTATGAATTTTCCAACTAAAACTGCTGAGTTTCGGCGCATTCTCGGCCCACTGTGGGCGAGGCTCAGCTAGTACGGTTGTTCCCTCAGGTGCAGTGGGCTCAGCGTTTCCTCAGAGGGAGCAGTGTACCTGATTACACTACTGTATAGAGTGCACAAAGCACTCTATAGTTCACTCTTGTCTTAGCAGAGCAGAGGGCCAGGTGCCTACTTCCCGAAGGGAAAGAAGCGCGCTAGCTGGCCGTCGGCAGCCCGTATAGAGCCCCATCTTGAAGGGAACCTACGCTGCGCCTTCTTGCGCACGCACGCGTTGTGTGTTTGGCCGTGTAACACGGCTGAGTATAGGCGCACACCAGCGATCATAGTCATGGAGCGCGACAGTGTGGATGTTTAGAAATTTTCTTCATTCCTGGCATGAAATGCTCACGTCTTCAGCGGACTGACTCATGCTGGTCTCGCATCGTCTCTCTTGAAATGATGTTTAAGGATGGAGAAGAAGGAAGGTTGCACTAAAACATAGTTTTCAAATTCGGAATTCGCGAGTCCGGCAGGTGAGTCGGTGCCACCCTGCTTTTGTGTTCGCCGCGCACAGTACGAGGAAATTTGTGGCACCATTGCCAAAATATCGGCTCGATTGAAAGAGTACTGCCATGTAGCGCTCATTTTTGGCTCCAGCACTAATCTAGGGCACTCTGGTAAACTGTTAAGGCTGTGCTTGGAAAAGGAATTACTTGCACTTCTTCCCAGGCTCGGCCTCAAAGGAGCGAAGGAAGGTTTGGTTTTAAAAAATTACTTCCTCGATGCGTGATCAGAGCGCCATAAACCCTACTATACAAGTTTCATCGATTTGCAAGGCTGGTTAACGCAAAACTTTTTCTTTATTCGCAGGCTCGGTTCCGCCTTCTCCACCACGTCAGAGATGTGAAAGAGTTATTGAAGGGTTCCTAATGGTTTTCTGCGCTATCTAGTTCACAGCTATGTCAGTTAGCACCTCGTCATCCACGGCATCATATATTTCATCTTGCCATCGTTTCATATGTCCTTAATTGCGAGAAGTGCTTTCAAGTCAGACATACATGAACACCACTATTCGCTACGTTCAACTCGAGCCCAAGTTCATGACAATGATTATTGACTGATGATGTAATAACTTGTCAAGAAAACATGGGGTAAACGAGTCGACATCATATTTTTTATCTAACATTTACCAGACTTTTCAGAGTTCTAGCCACAGCCGTCTTCTGCTCGCACAGCTGGCACAACTTCGTAACGACTCATTGCTCTGTGATGTGACTCTGCTCGTCCAGGTAGATTGCAAGAGATACACTCACTAGATTTTCCAGAAAGTCTCGTATCAAACTTTTCTTCAAAAAAAATAATAGCTTCATTTGTTTGACGAAACAGAACAAAGACACAAACGTCTTAATAATATATTTAATATAATAATAGTATCATAGTTTAAAAGCATGGTCCGTGAGTGAGCGGCACTACTCATCATTTTTGAACGCGGGATGTGCCTTTCAAAAACAGAATAAGAGCAGTTACGATCCGCTGCGTATGTGCGGTGGCTATAATTTCTAAAGACGAGTATTCTAGGGCTGCAAGGCGAAGAATTGCGAAAAATTCGTCGTTTAGGCCCCACAACGCAACTGGGAGGGACCGTAAATGCGTGCGAAATGGGTAAAAATCGCGGGCAGAAAAATCTTCTCGCATCTCGAAAATGCTTTCGGAGCCATAATAATGTCCATCTTAGCCGGCGACCAAATACTCACCTGATGGGGTTCTACATTGATGTTGTGCCCTATTTCTAATGGGGCAATGTGAGAGTAAGAAAGGCCCGGAAGGTTTTCTCAATCTTGCCGGCTTTGCCACATGAGGTTGAGCATTGACATGATGTGGAGTAGGCCAGATCTTCTTGCGCTTCAGAGGCTTCTGTGGGTTGCGGTTCGCCCACGCGCAGCATTCCCACTACAGTATTTTCTTGAAACTCTGGCACCCCACCCAGCAAAGCGAACTCTCCTTTCTGTGCATTTTTCTTTATGACTCGTTTGGAGGTAAATCGGCAAGTGGAAGCCAACTGCTTTATTGAAAAACAACATCCAACCCCCATCTCATTAAACAAGAAATCGGAAAGCGCGCTAGGTATAAGGGCATAGAACAGAACACATCGTCATAATGTGGAAAGTTTTAGCTGGATGCGATCACCTCCCCCGAACCTCCTCCCTATCCCTGCAACAATTTTCTCCCTCGGTGCAATCCACTTTCACAATTCGCCCACCATGTTACCACTTATTAAAAATTATCATAATCTCGCTGAATTTTCACGAGATTTTCATACCAAGCGTATAAAGGGGAGGGGATACAGAGTGCGCATGAAGCGGGAAAAATCAACGATTCAAAAAAAAACCTGTGACAAGCTACGGCCCTCCTCCCCTGCACCCAATTCCACCTTTCCCAGTTCTACCTTTGTTTTTTCGCAACGCATGATGTGCCCCGGTAAGGCTGCGTTTATACTTTGCGGCAGCGTAGCGTAGCGCTTCCAGCGTACGCCAGCGGCAGTGTCGGGGAAAGGATAGATATCGATCTAGCGTTCCCAGCGTCACCAGCGTACGCTAGCGGCACGCTCTCTCTAGCCCCGTCGCTGCGAGCGCTCAGGGCACAGCATTCGATGGGGATTTTGGTCGAGCTTCTACGACCCCCCCCCCTTTTTTCAGGGGCTGGTACGACCCCCCATGCAACGACCAAATACGACCCCCTTTTTGGCGGCCAAATACGACCCCCCCCCATAGGGAATCCCCATCGAACGCTGTGCCCTGCGAGCGCTGGGAAAACGCTGGAGAAACGCTGGTGAAGCTAGATCGATAGCTATGCTTCCCGTGCCCTCGCTACGCCAGCGTGCCGCTGGTGACGCTGGGAACGCTAGATCGATATGCATCCTCTCCCCGGCACTGCCGCTGGCGTACGCTGGAAGCGCTACGCTGCCGCAAAGTATAAACGCAGCCTAAGAAGAAAAAACTGACTCATGAGCAAAGACATGCTTCCTCTCTTCGTAACCGACACTGTTTCAATCATCTGGGATCGACAGCCTGATGAATTTTGAGCATCCGTAGCGTAGTGCGCGATCTTTCAACAAAAAATTGGATAAATTCAAGGTCTAGGGTCTCAAAATTATTTCATGCGGTACAAAACTTTCGGAACAACCTAATACTTTGCGATACGAGGTTTTAATCAGATTTATTTCAGGGAGAACGAATCAACGCCCATAGAAATGTACTCGCTGCATGTTCAGATTATTTTAAAGCCATGTTCACAAATGACATGGCTGAAAAACACCTGCGTACGTTCATAACGTTCGATGTATGCCTGGCAAATCCTTCCGAATAGATCAACCATAAGTGTGCGATGTCGCTTTGGTAGTTGGACAGGATTCGGCCTGCAAAGTGACATGCGGGGTACACTGTGCAGGATCTTCCTCCATATAGGTTCGGTGACAGCTTGTCGGATGGGATAGAAGCCCCGGTAGTCCTGGAGAAAAACTGGTCTAACACACGGCTTTGCTCAGTTCTCACGCGATTCTTGCGGACGCTCATTTTGCAGTGTTCCTCACTACCGTTTTTAGGAGAAATGGAAATGGTCGATGTGGAAGCTTCTACGCTTGACGCTCTCGTAAATTTCTGTTACTCTGGAAAGATCACGATCACCGAGGATAATTCACTGAGTATTCTAGCCGCGGCCTGCCATTTTCAGTTGAGCAAAGTTCAGGTTTGTAAGAACACAAAACTAATTTACTGAAACCTTGAAGGCTCAAAGACACGCTCCGCGTTCATTCGACGTTCAGACGCCTTGTTGGGGCATGCTGACTCCGTCCTCAAGCATGGAAGATTTATCATTTCTGAGGGTAAAATACATAAAGAAAGAAGACGGGCCACTTCCCCACCCAGTGACCACGTTAACACCCAACATCCAATTCTGGGGGTAAACTAATGGTACTGTTCCGCCACAAGTTCAGAGGTTTTGAAGAAAGAGGTGCCACCAGCAGTGAGAGCTCGTCCGACCACGCCTTTCCTTTGCCTTATGCCACAGACAAGCTCGCTCGGGAGGGAGGTTCTCTTTGGGGTATTTTGGTTAGGCCGCACAACTAACCATTTTCAAACGCGAGCCTGCTCCGAAGTCTCAAGGTTTGGATGATGCTTCTATTTGAAGGGAATCTGCTGCGAGTTTCTGAAAAAGAATTTGGGCCTGTCGAACTGCCTCGAAATTCACGCGACTGCCGATGCTTACTCTTGTCAGGAGCTCTTTCTTTGCGCTGACATGTACATCGTCCAGAATTTCCAGGTTTTCCCTTTGTTGCTAGAATGTAGGTAGCTGTTGTTTTTTAAGTAATGATTTCATTTTTCTTTTCTAGAAAGTTGCTGAGAATGAGACATTCAATCAAATTCCTTTCGATCGATTCGTTAAACTAATTTCGAGTGAAGAGCTGAATGTACAATCAGAAGGGGAGGTATGTCGACCTCTGGAAAGGGGGTAGGACTTGTATCATCACTTGATTGAATTATCAGTTCAGGAAAACATGCGGTATACGGTACACAAAACTGCGCGTAAAATTAACTGCGCAGGATCGGCGAGTGCACACACCACACTGCGAGGGAGAGAGCAGTGATACTCAGGTGTCGTTCAGCGTCAATGATGAAAGACTTATCCATGTGAAGAACCCCTGAAGAGACACACAAGACAGAAGCAACCTGCCAGCGCAGAAGTGGGGAACGGGCGATGACAGGAAATACGATGGCCGCTCACAACGACGTCATGGATTAATAAATAGATAAAAGTACATTTTGAGACCTTTCTGATACAGGAGCACATGTGCTTGCACTTAGGAAGCCCTATCTAGAAGTTGCACCTTCCCAATACCTCTACGTCAGAGCCCTATGCATGGCGCATTACAGAAGAGATGCCAACCGCGCCCAATGAATACTTCCAGATATCCTTTGCGAAAACATGTATTTTAAAAGCATAGCGAAGTCTTCAAACGAACTGGAAGTGGTATGGCGTCAGATGGGTGGGTTTTTCGTGTAGTCTGGCAGGGATCACGTTGTGATAACAACGAGGATTTTTTCGAATGCCACGCCTAGAGATGAAATGGAAGTTTTGCTGGAAAGAACGAAGCTTTAAAATTCCAGCTTTACTTTTTACGAATGACACTGAATGAAGTATGTTATGGCTGTTCAAAGTGTGAGGACTTGTAAATGACACCCGATCATAACGTCAGGACCACAACGGGGGAATCTTTTTGAAACGGAGTTTTTTTTTTCGTCGAAGCTGAAGTAACAAGTGCCAACCTAATGCTCCACAGTCCTGCTTTCCCCTCACCGAAAGCTCTACTCTCAAAAAAGTTATGGGTGTTCAAGTGAAGGGTACTATTTGAGTGGTTGGCTTGAAACTGGCTCCGGCTCGTAGAACAGCTCGTTCAATACCGCTGCGTGAACGCCCTTGAATAAGCGCGAACAATAAATGTTCAAGTGCTGTCACTTGCATTTTCCCGCACTCTCTTTCTTTCCTTGTGTATTTCGATGTTCATTTATAACCTATTGCTTTCCTCGATTTATAATTACCAGTCGGATCACCCGGCTGCCGCCGGGTGCTCCTCCTTCTGTTTCACGGCCCGGCTTCGCCGGGCCGACCTGGCTTCGCCAGGCACTCTTCCCTTGGGCGAGGTAGAATGCACTAAATGTGCGTTATTTTATTTTGATGTAGGAAAATGGTTGAAAAATGCTTAAGATCAGTCACTGTCTACCAACATCTGGTCCCCCTCGCTTACCATAGACTTTCAACCGTGAGAAGGCTGCACCATATTTAAGGACCGCACTTGCGATATCAGAGTGGGTAAAGTTGAATTAGTCCGGATGAGTCCTTAACACTCGGAAGGGCATAACTGCGGAGTCATGGGTGGCACTAAAAAGGAGAACTTTGCACCGGTTGTACATGTCAAAGTGTGTGTGTCGAACGGAGAGCTCGAATGTTACCACCGACAGGACGTCTCCACTCCCAATTGTTGGGTCCCCTTCTTTTTTTGCTTCAATTGCGGCTGCTGCCTCCTAACAAAACTAACAAATCACATAGCACGCAAATTTATAAAATTTTTTCTACTTGATGAGTTTTCCAATTATCCCGTTTCAGCCGCACCCCCCCCCGCTCGACCTCATTTCACGTATCTATAGCAAACACTTCAATGGACAGACTTGATTCCGCCGTTGGCCATAAAAAGAAAAAGTTCACAAATTGAGCCTCTAATACTTGGCATTAAAGCGGTAAGAAGTGATAAAAATGTAGCGCAGATGGTATCTTATCCGTTTTTATCGATTGATAAGATTACCTGTCACCCGTCATCAATGTCCTCATCACTAAATCTCTATGATTTGGTAGCGTGAACCACCTTGAACAGCGACGACGACTGCAACTTCCCTTATCAGCCCCTATCAGTAGATCGCTTCCAGTCACCCACGATGTCCCCATCTCACCCTCTATATCACTTGCTGAAACGTGCGCCTCGCTGATGCTGTCACCCGCGTTATGAATATGGCAACCTTCTCCTTCTAACGCCCCTTATCGAATCTTATCAGCAGCTTACAGTTCTTGTCACCCACCAATAATGTTCTTGGCCCATACCCTATATCATATCTTGGAATCAAGAGCTAGCTGATGCTGTCACCCGCGTTATGAATATGGTGACCTTCCCCTTCTAACGCCTCTTATCGGATCTTATCAACTGATATCACTTCCTGTCACCCACCAATAGTGTTCCCGTCACACCCCCTACATCACTTCTTGGAAATTCCACGAATTTCGTGACAAACAGACAGACACACACACACGCACGGATATAGCCGATTATATATGGTAGGATTATGGCTCATTTTCATCGTGTTTCTCATATTTATCCTTGATTAACGTCGCATCTTTTTTTGTCGTTTATTTTCGCAGATCTTCCATTTTTCGGTAGTTGTTTGTCCGCTGCTGATCTGGTCCGCTGCTATCCAGATTAGCAGCGGACAAGGGAAGAGGTTCGTATCGAGAGCTTTTTTGAATGGGGGGAGTCGAATTCAGCAGAAGTTGATCACAGCGCGATGGCGTGCTCTGAAGCGCGCAGGGTATCATTCCCGCTTCTTGGCCTCACTCCGGCAGTTGACACATTCACGCGCACACTCGTTCCGCGAGTTTGGCTATCAGGGCACATCGTTGGTTGGGGAATCCCCAACAGGGGGGTCGTATTTGGCCGCCAGGAGAGGGGGGGGGTCGTAATGAGTGCGGTAGCCAGTAACGAGCGTCAGTGTGCTGAGTCCTGTACAGCGAAACTTGCTTTGTAGAGAACTCGGATATGTAAAAAAATAGTACAAAACTTTCATTCATCAAACTAATCCGAAATAACTGGAAATATTAATAAGTCGACATCATCTCGTAAGTGACTCATACTCTGGTTCGCTGCGGATGATGGGGCGTGTCCGCGATCGCGCTTGGCGCTGAGCCAACCTGTTTTTTTCGACAAACGACAGGACTACCATATCGTTCGTATCAGACGTTTTCCAGCAGTTGGTCTCCTTTATCGGAATCAGCAATTGGCGGAGCACGAATCTGGCGGCGTCGACAGGGACACGCTCCATCATACGCAACGGAAAACACTGTAAACAAGTGCACAGGTTCGCCATGGACCTCCCTGAATCCTATAGACACATTTGCTCGCGTGGACAGACATTACGCACAAATTGCACCATCCCATCACCTCTGCGCGGACCTCAATGCGCGGCGCATCCAAAGTTAGCATGATTGGCGCTAAACAAACCACATCCTGCTCCTGCTCCACCACAGGATACGTTCTACATGTATTTCTGGCTATTCGAACACGCTCGCTTGAAACCGTACACAGAAAACGGACTTTCGAACAGTTCGGAGTGTTCCCCAAAAAATCCCCAACGCAATTATCTCATGAATCCCGGAACTTCAGAAACAGTTTAAGTAGTTTTTGGAAAGAGAAAATCTTCTAGAGTTCGATACTGGTTTCAGATTCCCAAACTATTGAGGTTCAAGGGAAATATCTTGGTTCAAACCTGTAAAACTCGCGCTGCAAACTATCCAAAAAATAAACTCCCTAAAAACTCCCCAACGCGAATTTCTGCATGAATTCGGCGACCAAACACGTTAGTATGTTTTGGAAAGATCAAATCTTTCTCTATACGACTGCGTTCTTCTCTTTCCCAAAGGTCCGCTATTAAGGAAGTTATGGCCCTTCAAAGACACCCCACTTTCCTGAAAATCCGCGCTCCAATCAAACCACCTGCAACCACCTTGCGGCTGTGGGTCCTGCCCAGAATCCCTCCCCGGTCCCTC